TATTAGGTTTGATTTAGAAAACAGCCCGCGTGACATCGATGTTAACCCGCGGCCCGGGGCGTAGCAGGCGCGAGATTGTATCGATCGTCATCATCGTTGTTTTTTTTTTTCTCATCTCCGTCCTTATCATCGTGACTACCACGAACTATGGCGCCTATCAACCGCGATCTGAAACCGCGATAGGGAATTAATGGTATAAACGATCAAATGAATACTCGTGCTGCGCAGGTTTCGTGTGATGGGAGCGCTGGACAGGTCTACTGCGCCGCATCCTTGAAAATGTTCTGGGTTCCGCGTGCTATTTTGACAGAAGCTCCTACCCCTTCTCACCGCGCGCGTATAACCGTTAGCGACTTTCTTGTACAGCTAGTAGCCGGTATATCGATTCTTACCTCGTTTTGCTTTTCTAAATTACTATTTACATTATATAGGTTTTGAAATTTAACGTTCGGTAGCAGAAACAACGTGATGCTATTGGACTACCCGTATATATTGATTTCATTATATATGTAATATCAACGTTCTTTCCGACGTCCGGTTACAAAATATGAGATGAAGACATAATTGCCTGAGCTGTGTGTAGTGCCTGCCGACTGTCGGCGTATCCTCACTCTATTTAGCACCTTTATTATTTTAGGAAGCCCACCGGCCGCAATCCCGCAGACCTTTTTTTTAAGCACAATAATGGCAAATAGGCTCCGCTCCAGCGTGGGTTAGAAGGAATGCTTCCGTCGGGTGTGGTGCGTGCGGCGTGTGTGGCGTGGGGTTGTGGGCGGTGTGTGCGTGGTCGCGCGGTCGTGTGCGCTGTGTGACACAGCAGAAATAGAGGCAGGATAGTGCCTGGCACGCTGTCACGGACGTAGAACACGACCTAGGCTATGATTAGACCTACGTCCGTTTCACGCGTGTACGCGCAACATAGAGCTCCGGGATATTGGCTTACGGAGTGTGTTGTTGTGATGGTGAAGTGTGTGTGGGTAGTGTGTGGGTGGCTCGCGAGCGCGTTCGTGGCGCGATGTTCGTGTGGTGAGTTGTGTTTGTAGGGCGGGAGGTCTCGTACTGTATAGGTTATACCTTATATATCATTGTTTATTCTGGGGTATAGTACTGTATCATTATAATATACCGTACAACCACTCACTGGAGGCCATTGGTGGGGGCGCAGGAATTTCAAGGCAGCGCCTAAAGGGGGGTAACGCAGGATGGGATAAAGATACACCACAACAAGGACTTGAATTCGGGGTTACGGAAGCTTACTTCAATAATAATGATCACCGTTCAATGAGTCGAGTTTTAAACTCCGATTAATTGACTATTAAATAAACAGCGGCACTCATGTCATCAAATCATATCATTTACATATTGCATTCAATCCGTCGTTCCGCCTCGAGCGCAGCTCTGCTCAGCAGACATGAGCTGGCCGATCACAGTAACGCAGCGGCTAACTTATCGCACGGCGCTCCCGCAACCTGCTCCTGACAGCCATTACGAATGAGAGATAGAGAAAAATATACGAGAGAAAAACGAGTGAAAATGTGGTACGGGAACAAGTCTTACACCTCTACTTCCATCTTCCATACGAAGCCCGCTCACCGTCTAATTTTCACCAGCCCCCCCAATAATAAGCTTCCCAATAAGCTACCTAATAAGCTAACTCCCGAATTAAGCTCCCCAATTCAGCCGTCTTCGTTTCAGGAATACCCGACGTTTCCATAAAGGACTCGAATGGACCGAATTTCCCGCACTCCGGGGTGAGGGCGGTAATGCGAGGATAGAGCGTATGTTGCTCTGCGCCCTGAGTATCCTAATGTGTTATCCCAGCCTTTCCGTCTCCTGTTACCTTCCCCTTGCATTCCCGTGACGTCACGTCGTCCCATTCTAGACGCAGCTCATCCCCTTATGCAGTTAACGTTGGTCTAGTGTTTCGTACATAAAAGCTGGAGGCTTTTACGTGTGATGCACCATTAACCCACAGGCCTTTTGCTAGACGAAATTTGTTTCCTCAAAAAATATAATGCTTAACAGAGAAACGAAATCTATTTACGTACCAAACGTTCTTAATGTTATCTCTAACTACTCTTTTACCTAAAAGTATTTTATTTCGTACTCAATTTCCTGGACAATTGCCGTCAAAGTCCACTTTGGCTGCGCACGCTAGCTGCCTGCACACAGCACACCATTTATATGTCGCATGAATACTAAGAGTTGGAAGGAGAGTTAGTGCGAGGCAACATTCAAGAGACTTTGGTAGTAAAATAGATTCGTATTTATTTAGCATGTACATTATATATAATTGAACGCGTCAAGCTGCGCATGTGTTTGAAAAACTCATGTGTTGCTCGATGGATATAAATGTCTAACGCTGTAGTAGTGTTAGTTGTTTACATGTTTGTTAACACAATGTTCCGATACTTTTTAACGGTGTTTGTTGTTTTCGTGTTCGTATCACAGTGTTGCGATACTTTTTAACGGTGTTTGTGTTTTTTTCGACGCCGACTTTGGTGATAGTAATCGAAAGGTAAAAAGTATTTAAAAAATAGGCTTTTGATCGACAGTGTTCGTTTGCCGATTTTCGCAGGTCAAAATCGAAATGAAAGTGAAAAATTGACTTAAATTTCCTTAATCATTTTTGTAGTCAGTTTTTGTCCATGTGTGGATGTGGTACAATGTAAAACACAATGTACAATGTAAAACACAATGTACAATGTAAAACACAATGTACAATGTAAAATACAATGTACAATGAATACAATGAATACAATGAATACAATGAATACAATGAATACAATGAATACAATGAATGCAATAATGAAATGAGACAATGTAATTATAATATGTGATAATTTATAATACATGTATGTGAATTCAGACGTGTTGCTGCGTAGTTGCGTGCATCTGCGCCCTATCAGCATATCATCTCATCCGAAAAGCGCATTTCATTTTTTTCCTTGGCAGGTGAATCATGTTTTATTCACCTGCAACAATGAAGAACAAGTTGCCCCCCCCCCCGAGTCCGTTTCATTCTTACTTCATTTTTGCATGCGTTTCAGGAAATCGCATGCGAGTAATGAAAAGACTTCTGTGTAGAGAGAGAGAGAGAGAGAGAGAGAG